CGAATTCGTTGAATTTGATTCGACAGAATATCACTATTATTCCAAAGGTATATATGTAAGTGATTCATTCAGTGACAAGATTAACAAAGGAGCATTTAAATTTCATTTTAAGCTTATCGACTGGAAAATAATTTAGCTGTCTCGAGGTTTCGCCTCGCCAGCGTCGGTTAAGGTAAAATTCTCTTAATAAATTATTTATGTAAATGACATGTTTTTATATCGTTGTTGATTTTTATAGGTTCCCATAACTCTTCATGGCATTGATGGCCGATATGCAACAGCTCTATTTTCAGCAGCTGCCAAAACGGATAATCTTAATAACGTTGAGTTAGAACTTAAGCAAGTCAAATCAGCGATTAAAAAAGATGCCAAAATCAACAATTTCCTTGAAGATCCTTCTTTAAATCGTAACCAGAAGAAATTAGGCGTTCAAGAATTTTTGAAGCAAGGAAAATATTGTGATATCACAAAAAGTTTCTTTCAGGTTTTGGCAGAGAACGGAAGGCTTAATGAAACTATAAAGATTGTTGACGCATATACATCATTGATGGCAGCTCATCGTGGAGAGATCCTTGTCACAATAATCACTGCAAAGGTTTGTTCTTTCATATTTGTCGTACATATATTCAGTACATTTATTACATTTATTTTTGTTATTATAGGAACTCGAGCCAAAACTTTCGGATAAACTTAAAGCTTCACTTAGCAAGAGCAAATTTGTGAAGCCAAATCAAAAACTTCTAATTGAAAACAAAGTGTGTTATTATCTAATTTATATGGTTAATCACATATTTAAAAATTTTTACTAACAATTATACTTTTTTTTTTTAAAAAAAAAAATCGTAACATTATTTTTTTAAAAGATCAATCCATCAATTTTAGGTGGATTGGTGATCGAAGTTGGTGAAGATCAAACTATTGATCTGTCAATTGCATCCAAAATCGCTAAACTTAATAAGCTATTAACAGGTATATATTGTACAAAATTTTATAACATGTTAGGTATGAACGTTATAACTTATTTTAAATACATTTTAAAACAGATGTCATCTAATGTTTTATTATTGATCGTAAATGCGATACAATTCGATGAATAAACATTGTCATTCGACCATGAGATTATGGAAAATCGATGTTTATGAATAAGTTAGTGCAACGTTTATATGACAAAATGACAATGTTACCCAAATTA